CGGAAGATCGGCTAGCTCGGTGACAGCTTTGAGCCAGTTATCCGTTAGTGAAGCTGGGCGCTGTCATGTTTGCTTGGAGACCTTCTGCATAGCGTGGCAGCAAGCCGTTGGCATCAACAGTGGCGCCACCGAGGTTAGACAATAGGCGGAAAATCTCGAGAAGATCGCCTTGGATTCGAGAAACTGAGAAGTTGTAGGTATTAACCAAGTTGATGAAGACGGAGTGAGCTGGTGCCCAAGACTTTGTGGTTTGGCTGGCTTGCGACAAGAAGTTGATCAGGCGTGGCAGGTATTGAGCTGGGAATATGACAGATGCACGCTTCTGGCTACTGTTCTTCTCCACAAGGACCAGTTCGAGAGCATGTTGCTTTGAGTTCTCCAGTGAGTCTGGCGAGGCAGTCGAGAAGAGTAGACCAGAGTCTTCAAGCATCGTCTTCGCATGCCGTGCGTCGGCAGAGTAGATGTCGAACTTTACGAACAAATTCTTGGAGTAGAAGTAGTTAAGTGCTTCTTTGGAAATTTGCTTGTTGACGTAGAACAAGGCGGTCTGAACTCGGAAAGGCGATCTTGATGCCTTGAACTCCAGTACGCCATCCTTGATGGAATGTGTATACGAGACATTCGGTTCGCCGACGTTGACAAGCTCGGTGTCAAGTGCGTACTTGTATATATTGTTGCGTACGGAAGCTGGAAGGTCGACCAAGCCAAGTGCCCGCTTTTTGGGGGTTGGCTCGGCTAATTGAGCAGCTTGGAGCTTCGTCTTGATTCCATCAACAGTAGCGTCCATCGAGTCTCTTTTGGCTGTAGAAGTCATTGTGATAACTACCATAGCAATGTTAGCAACATCTTGGAGTCTCTTGGTATACAAACTGGTGAAATGGCGTACCAATTTTTGCAAGAGGCTGTCAAGTGGTTCCAAGGCTTTGCGATCTTGCACAGACCTCTTGTATTCCCGATTATAAGGTAAGAAGTTGTTCTCAAATCATGTAGCTTCAGTGGAAAGATCTTCCCAAGCTAGTCAATGAACTTGAAGTCGCAAAGACGTATCGAACAGCAACGAATTGATTCTTCAAATAACAAAGAAGACACATTCAACCTCAGCTCCCCATGTACATGCGGGGTTTTATAGCTACACCCGCGCACCCCCGTTCCGGAGGGGTAGCATTAGTGACGTGCGGGGAGTGCATGGATGAGATGTGGGGAAAGCGCATGCATGCGGATCCGAACTTCCCTTTGCCTTTCGCGCTACTTTTACGGTACATCCGGCTTACATCCGCGCGCGCACACCGCGAAGGTATCTTTAAAGTTACTGCTGTTCAACTACTTGCTACGGGTTTACACTTTGCTCGGCTTAATCAGCACGGGCTTCTTCTCCGCTGCAAGGCCCCAATTACACACGCCGCTTCCGCCACACGTTCCCTTGAGGTTATCACCAATTGCGAAATGGCCAGTCGCTTCGAACGTCGCAGTGTATTGCGCTCCTCGATACAGCACGTCCGGGACATGTCTGAACTTCAGGTTGAAGTCTCCCGATGAGTACTGCCCGGACGAGCCAGCGAGAACTTGCATGGTCCAGTACCCGCCGGTGATTGCGTCGCAGGGCCAGGTCCGACCGAGAGGGGTTTCGCCTTTGAAGTATTTCGCTTCGCAGTTCTGCATGGTGTTAGTATGCGATGTTCTGGGCGTGATGAAAGACACATACGATGCCCTGGCTTCCGGCGGGTACGATGACGGATGTGCCGTCTGAGTCCGAGGTCCCTAGGTTGATGGTATTCGGATCGGTGATGTTCGCGGAGAGTGATGACCACGGATAACTTCCTGGACGGCCTGAAGGTGTATGTGAATTCACGCTGGTGACTTGCCAGTCTTGGAGGGTGTCCTGGCGTGCTTGTAAAGGTGTAGCCGCAGCGAAGGAGGTGAAAGCCATGACAGCTGCGATGGTGGGTGTTGCGAAGTACATCTCGAATGACTGTTGTTCTACTAAGAGCGGGATGTATTGAGTGGAATTGCAGTGCGGAATCGAGATGTTTGTCGTGATGTGGATTTCATGAGGTCTTTTTATGTACGCTCGGCTGATCGAATACGAGTTCAATTATCGTCCCATCATCATGCTACTCCAGATTTGACTACTTGGGAATCGTGACTCAGTCAACTCGCGACCCAAGGCTTCGAGAATTGTGCGGCGGCCCGCCTGCAGGAAACCTAAAGACAAATATAGCGTGATCTGCATCGGCAATGAGGTACCACGATGGACGCCTGATGCCATCGCGCCCGAGTGACCACACGAAAGTTTTGAACTCCGAACGCAGGATTACAAAGTCAGCTTCTACAGCATAGGAATTGGATAGATCAAAAAGTGTGTGTTCTGCAGGTTTTCTTTTGTACGGTTGCAAATTGAATGGCTCCAAAAGCAGCATCGGAAAGTGAACGTGGAGCGCATACGAGCTTTCACGTCATCATGGTGTGGAGTAACAATAAATCGTGCATGACATGGTGACATTTGTGCGACCTGGTGTGCTGACTGAACTACTTGTCGTCTTTGTCAACATGCGCCTGCGACATGCGAATCTAAAAGTTTCCACTACGCGTGCGTGTTGCTTTCAAATTCAAGCTGAAAACCAATGCTCGCAATGTATGAGCGCAAATAATTTGGCGGGAAAGTCCAGCGCGTACGCGATCTTGCGACTATTTACTTCGCGATTTAAACTGAGTGGCGGACTAGAGATCGTCCCAAATCGTAGCGCAGGAGCCTGAAGTGGAGACCACTTCCATCGCCCGAGGACTGTACGTCGGTCGTGATGCTCCAGCAGCTATGTGAGATGCATTCGAAAGCACTTGCCATGATTCGAGAGCAAAGGAAAAACGCCTTTTAAATGCTAATGTCACAACATGCTGCCTTCCATTATAATGCGACAGCCAGATACCCAAGACCCCACCATACGAGTATCAAAAGACCACCAAGCCAGCCATCCGACCCGCTATGCTTCAGAGTCAGGGACATACCGGCAGACACCGGTTTGGTGGGTTGGCCTGACTTGCCAGTTGGTGCCGGCCAGGCACCACTATTCGTATATCCTGCATTCCCGTCACCACTTCCACCTAGCGAAACACTTCTTGTCCGAGTCACAACCGTCGTGACCGGCTGCAAGATGCTTGTGCTGCCTTGAATGACCACTGCTGTGCCGCTGTGATCCAGGCTCAACGTTGTGCCATCGACGGTGATGGGTGCTCCACCCGGCTGCAGTACGGTTCCTGGACCGATGGTAATGTATCCCGCACGATTTGCAGTGTAGGCGTGATTGTTGAAGGTAAGCACGGGTGCAGCTGTAGTCCATACGTTCCCGAATCTTGGTGCTAGAGAAGAAGTTACGCCATTGATGACGACAGCTGTTGCGGAGGGCGCGAGTGATATAGTCGTGCCTGCTATCGTGATTTCTTCTCCACCAGGTGATATAGTCTGACCAGCCAGAACATACTGAGTCTCTTGATTTGGGGCGATAGTTTCAGTGCCGAATGTGAGCACAGGCGGCAGTTGTGAAGGTGCATAGGTGGCTCGAGGCCGCTGGCTGGATGTGACCTCACTAGGCGGCTGTAATGGGATGATCCTCGTACCTACAACGACCTCGACAGTTCCATCAGTGGTTTGGATGACAATAGGCACATCATTTACGGTAATGGTCTGACCAGGCGTAACAGTGAGCGAGTCTCCAACGACGAAGTTCCCACCGGACTGTGCCTGGCTAACGACAACATTTGAAGGGCCCGCTGGTATTCTTGTCAGAATGGGCGTTGTGGATGTCCCATGCTGTTCCTCTGGTGGGCTCTCTAGCCAGCCAGTGGCTGTTACCTCGATGACAGCAGAACATCCCAGACATGGCTTGGTAGCACTGAAGTTGGGCTCTGTGATCTCATGATGACCGTCGGGATCTCCAGGTTGTGTTGCTGCCGGTGGTATGGGATGCAGTCCTTGATCCGTAGATGTCATAACCGGTGGTCTTGTAGTGTCCGGGCGGGACGAGTTACTGGTAAGGCTTGCATCCGGCGCGACGGGAGCTGAAGGAATTGGGACAAGACTACCAATCAATGGCGCGGAAGGTATGAGAGGAAAGGCAATTGATTGAATGGGAGCCGGCGTTGTGGGGACCGAAGTGAGCGTCGCCGGCGATGATGGTATTGTGATGACTTGGGAGGGAATAAGCCCAGGTTGTGGCGAATTTGAAGGCACCAGCTGTATAGGACTGGCCTGCGATGGCGCCGATGGAATAAGTCCAGACCCTGCATATGGAGCACACCATGGTCAGCTAAAGTAGAAGAAGAAGGCGAGTCTTGCTTACTTGCTTGTGAAGGTATCAAGCCGACAGCATCTAATGGCCCGTAGCTGCCAGCGCCTATGTTCCATGTTAGTCAATATCTAAGTCACAGATTGACAAGCCATCTTCGTTGCGTACCAGTTTGAGCTAGAGCATGGGACAGTGGTATCCATGCTGCACAAAGGCCAAGAATCTGGAATAACGAGAGTGGGGACCTCTGCCCTTGAGGCTGAGAATGGACAGTCAACATTATGACAGAAGGAAAGCGGGATGTCAACTTCCCATGACGCAGGAGCAACAGCAACCGGAATGCAGGACATGAGAGATCTTACAGTAAATCAAAGTGGCAAGGCAACCCAATGTACCAGACGCCAAGTCGCTACCAGGCAATTACAGATATTGAACCTGAAATCTCCCTATTCTCCTCATACCGCGACAGCGGGTGGTGAGTAGAACAGGATGAGAAGAGCGGTAGAGAGCATATATCTAGATTGCCCTTCATTAGGGTGGCATATGGTCCTGGGATGTATAGTGCCGATTGGAAAGATCCGAGTGCGGAGGTGGCCCGAAGCTGCACTGGATAAATTGAAACCGGGTAGGAAGCAGCTGTGATACGCCGAATGGATGTTTACCAGAGACCAGCCTCTTCCGGCCAGCTTAGCGAGCGGTAACCCCTGTGCAGATGCGAAAATCACCGCATGAGCCTGTACTTGCGACGAAAAGCAGCTACGCTGACGGGGCGATTCTAAATTGCTTTGAAGTAGCGGTCATGTGTGACCGCATCAGCGGCCAACGACTAATGCATGCAAAGGTCTGCCTTGGACATGTTAAACAAGAGGATCTCGGCCTATGATGACAAAAACATAATCCTTCTCGCGATACTTGCCCTGAGTGGTGGTAGTCCCTGGCGTCGATGAAGTGGCAGAATATTAGCCGACCAACAACCAGAAGTCATCACGCCCATCGTCCATAACAGAATCAGGTACAGGCAATACTGATAAGTACAGAAGTATTCTCCTGGTATGGGGGGCTTCCAGCTTATCGCCGACATGGTCTGTGACCGGTGATCCTGTCCAGGGTACGGCAGTCGACAATAAGTACCGTTCGACTGGCGAATGCAAAGTGACCATGCCTCAGACACATGGGAAAGTCAAGGGTTCTCTGCCTGTACGTACCTGCAGGCGCAGTCTTTACCGGGTTCCAATCGAAACCTTGGACCAACACAGCCGGAACGGCTTCTGGTTTGATGATTCGACGTTTTTAACCAGATCGTCGAATGGAAATCCAAAACGCTGCAGGTAATTCGCTGGCAGAACTTGGAATTGGCGCCCTGTCGGTTTCTCCGAGATGGCAACCAGGTTAGGTGAACCGATATGTAGGTCGGCGCCTTCTTGTCCTTGGTTGTGGCCGTTGTGAGTGGTAAACTATGGCAAGTCATGAGTCGAGATAATTGATGATACTCTATACAGCAAGGTTATCATATTGATAGATTCAAAAGTCGCTACTGGAGTGCAATCGATAGGCAGGCGCGTGACGACCTCAGACGTGACGAGGACATCTTGTGTCAGTTGAGATGACAGCTGCCATTCCGAAATTCCGAATGTGGCCGGAACGGGTTGAGAGCCGTAAGCCAATCACACGCGCCGCTTAGAAATTCGTTGTGCCGGGAACTACCGCGAGATGACATAGCCTTGGTGAGTTTGGTGACCGACATCCGAACCTTTGCCATTCGTGACCATGTCACGCATGTTCTACCACTGTTAACTCCAATCCCTCCTACAACCTCCCATCGCCATCATGTCTCTGTCGCGCACAACTGGCGCGTTCGCGCGCTCGGCCTCCACCTTCCAGCGCTTCGCCGTACCCTCTTCCGCCCCCCGCAAATGTTCGCAATGCCTACGATCGTTCGCTTCATCGGCGGCCTACCGTCAGTCAGCAAAGAGGCAAATGCAGACGGCAACAGCATACCAACCGCATACTCTACAGCATCTGCCAGTCCCGTCTCGCAATGCTGGCGTGCCCGACACTTCAATAGCCGGCGGAAAGCCAGAGGCAAATAACTCGATACCACCGCGGTTGTCGCCAGAGCAAATCAACCAGGCCTCGCAGCAGGACCGGCCCAGTGTGAGCATACCAGAAGCCGCAGCACAGAAAAGCGAATCAGTACCCGAGAAACCTCTCCGGCCGCGGCGGTTCAAATTCGGGCCTCGGAAAGCGGTGATGAAGCTTTCGCCATCGGCTGTTGCGCACCTGCGAGAACTGCTCAACCAACCGGAGCCAAAGCTTATTCGGATAGGCACAAGGGCAAAGGGTTGTTCTGGACTGGCATACCATCTGGAATACGTTGATAAGCCAAACGCATTGGACGAACAGGTCGAGCAGGATGGCGTCAAGGTGTTGATCGACAACAAGGCGTTGCTGAATATTATTGGAAGTGAGATGGATTGGTTGGAGGACAAGCTGAACGAGCGCTTCATCTTCAGGAATCCAAATATTAGTAAGTGGTACCACCTCACAGCTCGGTAGCACCGACTAACAATCTCCAGCTGAGCAATGCGGTTGCGGAGAGTCGTTTAGTGTATCATGATACCCTCGCACATATTCATCTTAGACTATTCTGCATCATGCAGCGAAGCATTTCAGGCGTTATATACGGCATAGCAATTTAATTTGACTATTGGTACATGCTTTCCCGCTCACCCCGCCTTCAGATCTTCCCCGGCTCATAGTCTACCACCTTCACACTATTCGCGACTTCTCCAGCAAACTTCACAAACTCCTGGTGCGCCGGGTCCTTGTACACGTAGTAGTCTCGGTCCTCTGCGTTCTCGAACTCGACCACGAAGCCGTGTGTATGTGGATCCTGGGAAGAGCATTAGTAATGGTCTTAGTGGGGGTATGGACATGATACAGCATGGCCTTCAGGGCTGTTGTTCTTGCCACCGGAGAAGGACTTGATATAGGGCTTCTGTGAAGTTGGATGGATGCACTTGTCGCTGAGTGCCAGCATGCGGTTGCACGCCTGGTAGTGTTAGACATTGTAAGATAGTATTGACGATGGTTGTGACATACTTCCTCGACTTGTTCGGGTGATGCTGTGGACTTCCACTCAAAAAGCACGATGTGGATGATGGTCATTTTGAATTCAGTATCAGTAGGAAACTTGTATGTGATCAGAGGTCAAACCGTTCCTGAAGCTGACGGGTGTACGGGTATAGGCCGGATGTATGACCTCAGCGGTGTCATAGCTCCGCGATGCCGCATCCATGGTCGCATCGACTTACCCCGCACCCAACTTGAACATGACCATACTTGCGCGACGTCGTCATGAGTTTCTTCCAATAACGGCCATTCCACAACGCGGAGTGAAGCGCCAACTTACGAGAAGTCTAATTGTCACGGACGAACCCGTCATAACTTCACACAGCACCTCCGAGCTTCGCCGCAACTCCTCCACGTCCCACATGGCGACCGCGAACCCCCTTCCCGAGCAGCTCATCTACCTGATCATACGATTCACGGCATCGGTACCTGATCTTCCGCTTTCAATAAATGCCCCAAGAACGATCACCACCCTCTCATTAAAGCAGCTCATTCGCGAGTACCTGCCGCCTAATCATGCTCCTGCGCGTCTTCGATTGATATACGCCGGCAAGGTCCTCGCAGACACAGAACCACTTGCAAAGTCTTTACGAATACCGCAACCTCCACCACGTCGCGATGGGCCATACAATGAAGACGGGCCCGGCAGCAAGAGCAAAGGGAAACAACCGCTGCGCGACACACCCGCCGTAGAATATGGCACAACAACCGAACCCCCATCCGACGCGAAGAAGTACTACATCCACTGCTCCCTCGGCGACGCGTTGTCTCCCGCCGAATTATCCCAAGAAGCCACGCTCGCGCAAACCACAGAGGACTCGCTGAAGTCGCAATACGAGTCGTCACAAACATCATCACAGCGCCGGGAGAGCAAGAGCTCAATAAACGATGTCCGCCGCCGCAGCTCTACAGCAACCGCACCCCAGCCCCAGCCCCAAGGCTTCGACCGCCTCCTCTCCTCCGGCTTCACGCCCCAAGAAGTCGCTTCCCTACGCTCGCACTTCCAGACAAACCTCTCCTTCACGCACACGCCCGACACCATGCCCTCGCCCGCGGAAATGCGCGTGCTCGAGGACCGGTGGCTGGACAGCACGGCTACAGACCCGTCACCCGCATTGACAGGGGAAGGTGGGGATACAGGCTGGGGTGCGGGGTTTGCGGTGGAGGACGGCGGGCTGGACGATATGCTGTGGGGGTATATGACGGGGTTTTTTTGGCCGTTGGGCGCGCTGGTTTGGGGGTTTAGAGAGGAGGGGGTGTGGAGTCGGAGAAGGCAGTTGGCGGTTGTGATGGGGGTGTTGATTAATACGATTTTTGGCTTCATGAGGTGGAGTGCTTGAGGATGGTAGGTAGCATCTATCACCTGGCAGCGTGGACCTCTGAGGAGGATCTTTTGGCAGCGTGTTGGCAGCTTTGACTTCCGTGCATCCTCAAGGTATTCGCGGGCATATAGACATGCTTGATGGGTACAACCTCCATGGCGAAACCTCAAGTGCTTAGCCTTGACGGACCCGTAGAGCTAGAGAAGGCATCACTTCAGCATGCCGTCATAACTTGATAAGGCGCGGCAACGGCAGACGCGGCCCTGAAGATCTGGGGGAGGTCAAGAGAACCTCCATCATCTGGGGCATTCGAAAGTACCTATCCAAGCCTCGTATCCAAAAAGTCTTCGAGTCATGTGTGCCGAGTGCAAAGTTTAGAACCACCCGGAATCTTCACGATGGTACAAACCTAGGCGTCACACCACCGTCAGCAACCACAGACCAACACAACACACACCGCCAGCAAAAATCTCACGATCACGAAACACCCAACAAGTCTCAAATTTCACGATTATGCCTCCAAAGGCATTTGTCTAACACTTAACGGCAAAGCCCTGCGGAGCCCCGTATATACATATAGGGACACTTTACGTACAAACATCCACTCTGACTGCGACACCAGCATCATTGCATCGTGAGCAAAATTCCGCCAAGCCAGTCTCGCCCAAGCGGGTAGCTTCGGGAAAGCGGGAAACTTGCAGCGCTCATGCGGGACAAAGCAAAACGTAATTGGCCCTACGCTTGCGGACAATTCCAATAGCAAATTTTCATTGGGCCATGCCGTTAAGTGTTAGAAGACTGCCGTTGGAGGCAACAAGGAGCAGCAGGGGTGAAATTTTCAGGCACGCGCGCCGCGCTCTGACGTTGCCCTGTGGCTGGAGAGCCGCATCCGCCGGGAAACTTTTAGTGGGAAGCGCCAGGGCGTGGAAGAAGTCGATTTTCGCTCGATCTCCCGTCGCGCACGGATGGCGCATCGGAGACGGACACGCCCTGCAGGTCGGCGGCTGACAAAATAAAGTGGGTTTGTCAGTCGGGTGGGATGGTGTGATTGGCTCGTGTTTCACGATGGTTTGGACATGTGCAAGGCGTGTGGGCGGCGAGTTCAGGGCGTGCGCTGGGGAAAAGAATTTTTTCTAATGACTGGAGTGTTATGGTGTCATTGGAAATTGGTAGAAGGGCATGTGGGTTTGGGTATATAAGGGATGGGGAGGGTATGGGGGTTATGAGATATCAGAAGCAAAGCATTCAAAGCATCACATCAAAGCTACTACCACTACCACCACTACCACCAACTACTCTTCTCGAATACTACCAATCGATCAATCGACTCACCTCTCAACCAACCACAATGCCATCCAACGTCCTCTCCACCATGGCCGCCCGCGCCAAAGCCCACCACGAGTCCATGAACGCCGCCTACCAAGCTACCTACTCCATGGGCACATCCAACACCTCCACTCCCTCGACCTCGCGCAAGTCGTCGACCACATCCGTCGACCAGCAGTCCGAGCGCAACATCACCAAAGCGTGGAAAGCCCTCAAGAAGCACCACCAAGAAATGAACGAAGCCTACACCGTCTTCTACAGCCAAGGCATGGTCACTCCCGCCGGCTCGTCCCGCTCCAGCTCCGTTGCTCAAACACCCAAGGCGAGCTTCGAGCAGACGCGGATGAGCGTCGAGGAGCAGAAGCCGCGGAACATTGAGAAGGTGTGGAAGGCGATCAAGACCCGCGCGGTGGAGCACCACAGGAGCGTGAACAATGCTTCTGCTGCTGTGTACGGAGCGTAGAAAAGGAGACGAGGAAGATTGATGAAGACCAAAAGTGAATTTTTTTTTTTTCGGAGTTTTGGGTTTGCTTGGAGAAGCGCAAGATACCACCACACCTTTGCGACTGGATAGGGGCGTTTTTACCTGGACGAAGGAGATGAGAAAAACTTAGCTTAATCATAATGAACAACCACCCTTTTTGAACATGATCATCCCTTTTCGGTGCAGTGAAATTATTCGGTGGGAATTGGGTCTCGTGCTGAGGTTGGACTTGTCCAGGGCCTTTACGCAAATCCAAGGCCTCGGTGACTCTGCAGTCCGTAGCTTTTTCTCGCGAACTTGCACTGTGTCCTGGTTGAAACTCGCTCCAAGACCACTGTGATTGCTCTTAGCGTGCCTGTGGTTTTCCCGCCAATGTGATGCTGAATGCCAGCCTTGTGTAGTTCTTAACCTCATTCATGCTACAAACGTCTTGTCAGTGGTATATCCGGCGCGCGTCTCGCCTTCCCAGTCCCATCCACAATCGGAATAATATCGCCATCATCCATCACAAAACTATCACTCGCACTGTCCCGCACATGCACCAAATTCCTCCTATCCGACTTCCACTTCGGCCGCTCTCCACCCCTCGCCCTCCCCACACCCATCTCCCTCCACTTCTTCGGCGGCTTGACACCCATCTCGACCAGATTTGTCCAGATCCTCTCTCCTCTCTTATTCCACCGCTCCATTCGCGCTTCGTATTCTTCGTCGGACGGTTGCCATTTGCTCTTCAGTATGCGGCGTATAGCTTCGGGCGAGACTTTGAAGTGTTGCGCGAGGACAGGTGTTGTGAATTTGTCGGGCTGGGTGCTGTGCAGGTGCCGTATGCCTTCCATCGTGTCGGGTGAGAGCTTCTTGCGCGGGTTCCAGGCTTCACCATTGAGTTTCTCTTTCAGTGCGGCTTTGTGGGCTTGCCATGCTGGACGTTCGTATTTGGCTGGAAGGGCGTCGTCTTCGGCGTTTTCTGCATTTTCTGCAATGGCTTCTATATCGGCCTCCTTTTGTGTTGGTGGGGCTGCTCGGTCTCGCTGGTCGGATTTGTATGGTGCACGGGCGGTGGATGCGTGTAGAAGACGCGATGGCTGCGCATTTCTGATCAAGGTGCGCTTCGGGGCGAATGTAGGCTCTACATTGGCAAAGGAGCGGATGAAGAGGCCGAGCGTTCTCCGTGCACAATTGTGACAAGACATGGTTGTTGCGTGTGATGGCCTCAAAGTTGTGATGGTAGACATGTTCGAGAAAATGTTGCGCACGGCCTCCCGAAGCTTCGACGCCACTGGCTCAAGCCATGGACGCCGTGCGTGACACAACGCGACCTCAGTGAAATGGTTGGAAAAGATCAGAAGACGTTTTGATATGGATACCTCCTCTCGATTTCAGTATGACCAGGCAATACCTAGCTTTGTAAGGCAACATAATTGACGACCCACAAGTCTACTACCACTTTGGGATAAAAGTGGCAACTAGCCGGAAATGTTGGACGCCTGAAGTTACTTCTTTACATGATGTCTCCTAGATCTATAACAAATGTTCAACTTTGTTGCTTCCTTCCGCCAAGAAGTTTGCCCGCCGGCCCTTCCCATCTTGGACGGTCAAACTAGACCTCGATGATGACGTCGACACCGCGATTTCAGGGTCCAATCTGTCACTGTTTTCCCAAGCGATCGGGCGCGCGCTCTCTATATAGTGCATCTTTGTGTAGCCAGTCGCGTTTGAATTGCAAAGGAGAGAGAAAGTCCAAGATGGAGTCATGTCGGGCGCGGTTGAACCCATGCGCATCATCTGAAAACACTAGTGCCTCGGTGTTCACATGACGGTGTCCATCCTCTTGTTCTCACTCTATCCATCGATCGGTTCCTCCCAGCTTATCACTACTGTCTTCTCACCGCTTTGATTCATTCTGCTCGATATTCATTTCCACGTGTCTGACGATGGCTTTTCCCAATCCATTTCGAAGACGCACGGAAAACACGAGAAGGTATGTCTAGCTTTAGTCAAGTCACCTTCCTCATGTACTAACAATGCAAAGCGCTTGGGGTTACGAATTCGAATGGACGGAGGATCATCTCACTCCCGAGCAAATACATCGCTTAAAACACTCTTATGATGTGCTTGGGGAAGAGTGCCTCGATATTCTGAATGAAATCTCGCCACCACAAAAGAATGCCTTGCCACGTAACAGCGAACAGCAACCAGCACCTACCACAGTAGTAGAAGGCGAGAAAGAGAAAAAAGATGAGGCTTCTGTGCCAAAGAGTACAGTGGTCGGAAATGACGAAGAGAAGACAGAACAGGCACCCGTACCACAGCGGGATCTTTACGCTCTGCTCAAAGAGCATCACTCGTCCAATCCCAAGCTCGGCCAACTCTGGAAAGAAGTCAATACGATCCCGGAATGGGTGGATTGGGATCAAATTGCAAGGGGACAAGACGTGTTCTACAGATATGGTGGACCAGCTCTCACGGGTCTTACCTTTCAATCGCTGCTAGGAGGCATGGGCGCGGCACGCGTTGTGGAGACATTGGCTCGCACCGGGGGCTTCAGCACCAAAGTTGCCAGGCGAAGACTATTCGAGACGACCCAGCACGTATTACAGTGTACAAGAACACTTGAAGGCATAAAGCCAGGCGGCGAGGGCTTCGCATCTTCGATACGCGTCCGACTGTTGCACGCCGCAGTACGCCAGCGCATCGTCAAGCTCGCACATCAAAGACCGTCCTACTACAACCTAGAAGAGTGGGGCATACCTGTCAACGACCTCGACCAAATCGGCACAATCGGTACATTCTCTTCGGCCTTGATCTGGCTGAGCTTTCCCCGACAGGGCATCTTTCTAAGCAACCGTGAAATCGACGATTATCTTGCTCTGTGGCGATACATTGCGTATCTCCTGGGTACTCCCGACGAGTGCTTCACGACTCGGAACAAACATCGGGCGGCCATGGAGACGCTTTTCTACAACGAGGTCGATCCTTCAGACATGTCCAAGACCATGGCCAATAACATCATCTACTCCCTCAAAGAGGAGCCCCCGACATTCGTTTCCGCAGACATGCTCATCGCCAGCGCACGCTGGCTAAACGGCAACGAGCTGAGCGACCGCCTCGGCCTCAAGCGTGTCTCACTATACTACTGGTCTTTGATGGCCGGCCAGTGCCTCTTCTTCATGTTCTACTGCTACTTCTACAAACTGGTCCCCGCCTGGGATGCCGACCACGTCGCGCGCGCCAAGGACATATTCTGGAAAGTGATAGTCAAGGCCAAGTGGGGGCTTGCCGATACCGAGACGACGTTTGACTTCAAGTACGTGCCGCAGTACGACACGCTGACGAATCTGGGTGATATTGGCGAGGCGAAGTTGAAGACTTCTGGGCTGGAGATGCGCAATCTGAAGGCGTTTGGGATCTTTGCGGGCGTGCTTGGTGTGGGGACGGTTGTGGCTGTCAAGGTGGCGGCGCATGTTTTGGGGAAGATGTGGTAGATGTAGGGTGTCTTGGAGTGTAATGAGACATGGGATTTTAGATCAAAGGCATGGTTGCTGGCATATAAATGAGGCGTGATCATATCCCACTGCCTCTTACCTCAAATCCTATTTCACCTCTGATACTGTACACCCACGCCGCCTTACCGCTGTCATATCGAAGCCCACATCGATAGAATCTTTACCACCTACTCCCCTCCTCCTTCTTTCTCCTTCCCATCGCAAGAATAACCATGTCGCCCATAACGACCCATCCGCAGTCCTCGTGCAACCTCACCTCCTCACAAGACGGCGTATGCGGCTGCCCATCATTCTGGTCTCCCTCCACCACAACTCGTACTACCACTCCCTCACCACCTCCGACGCAAGAAGCCTCAACGCCCCCGGGCTCACCCCGCGAGACCTGTTTCTTCTGGTACCACAACACATGTCGGCGCGGCGCACAGTGCCAGCTTGCTCACGAGGTGCATGTGACCTGGCCGATACCTGTGCCGCCGAGATATGTGCACTACGAGAAATGTAAGTTGGGCATGTGTCCGTTGAGGTGGGATTTGGTTGCGTTTAAGAAGGGTGGGGGGGGAAAAGAAACAAAAGCCGTGGAGAAGAGGGGTATAGATATGGAAAAGGGCGGAGAGGTTGACGTGTTGGAAGGGTTGATTGACCCGAGTAGTCGGGCAATGGATGGGGAGTATAGTGAGAGCGGCTCAGAGGTGAGTTCGTATTCACCACGGGAAAACTCAACCTTGTGCTCAACCGAGACTATCGATCGAGCACTTCCCTCTCCACCTGCCTCCAACCACGAACCGCCACTGAGTCGCCCACGCACCATGTCCAAACGCAAACGCGTCCCGTCTTTGACCAAGCGCACCATGGCCAGCCCAATTTCCTCATCCACCCCATCCGGCCCTTGTATCCCAACTGGCCCCCGCAGCTCCCTCGTCCGCACTGTCCCCGCGCGCCCCGGCGCCGACAAACAAATCTGCTTCAACTGGTACCACTCGCAGCCGTGTCCGCGGCAGCGCAAGAACAAATGCACCTACACGCACTACATCAGCAAACATGGCGGGGAAGTGAGTCTGCCACTGGGGATCAGGGCGCATAAGGGGTGCGTGTTAGAGCTTTGTCCGCTACGTTCTGTGCCAGCGGAGAAGGTCGTGGAGGTTGCGAGTGTTCCGAAGGCTCCCAAGGCCGCAAGGGTAGAAGAAGTTGAACAGGTCAATATAGTCGGCCGTGGCGGGAAAAGCTGGCTCGAAAAGCGCGGCCGGACTGGTGGCGAGACGGAGCAAGAGATTATGGAGATGAGGCGCAGGATCAAGAGTGATGCCAGGGATAGGCGGGAGAGGAGGAGGTTGGAGAAGAAGTCGAAGGAGGGGAGGTTGGATTATGGGGATGAGGTCGAGGGAAAGCAGGAGGTGGGTATCAAGCAGAGTAAGTCTTCCCGAGTCAGTCGGCGGGATTTATCGATGAGGAAGAAGGAGCAGCCGCGGGTTTTGGTGGATTATGAGTTGCCGGAAGGGGAGGAGCGCTTGGAGTGGGATACGGATCTTGTGAGGAGGATTTTTGGGGAGATTGAGTGAGGTGGTGAGAATGGTTGGAGACGAAATTGACAGATGGGACGAAATCAGGAGACGGACGATTGGTGCAGGTTGACTCAAAACTGCAATCAAGTCGCACGGAGAAGACAGTTTTCCAGCACAGACAATCTAAAATAGGGGTATAATCATAATGGAGAGATACGAAATCCGGTACCGTGACTGCTCAAACCTTCATTTCATTTTCATTTACCAAACGTAAGGCTGTTGATGTCAGTGGACCAAATCATACATAGCGTACGAAATAACTCACCTTATTCTCATACGTCCAGAATGTCCCACTATGCTGGATCCCCTTACTCTTAATCACCTCGATCATCTTTGACACACTCTCCTCGGGGCTAATGATACCATGCACCTCCCACGGCAATTGTACATTCGCCATGTCTGTCGCGACCTCTCCAGGGTGCATTGCCAGGATAATCGTATCATCATCCTTACGCTTCAGCTCCGCAGCTAGATGGCGAACAGCCATGTTCAGAGCAGCCTTGGAGGCGGCATAGGCAGCGAATCCGTCTTCCATTTCGCGGAAGTTTCCGTGGGAGCCGGAGTCGCTAGACATGAAGACGATGGTGCCGATGGGAATGTTTGATTTGAGCAGTCTGTTGGCGGTGATGATGGGCCCGATGGTGTTGGTGTGCAAGTGGAAGGCGAATTGGTCAAAGGAACTGCGACTTGCATTAGTAGTGTGTTGCTTCTCGGCCAAGTTGTATAGTCTAGCTGGAGCCAACAAGGTCGGGCGAAGGGGAGACGTACAGCTCGGATGCTCGCTGGGGATGTTAGTGCGGCTCTTGAAGGAGTATGCATAGCGTTTATACTTACGCTTGGGTAGTTCAAGACTCCGGCATTCAGCACGACATAGTCGATTTTGAGGTTGGGAATCACGGCCAGCTGGGCGACGAATTTCTGCTGTGGTCAGCATCCGGCCTGAGATTCGATCTTGGAGAAGAAAACATACCTCAATGCTCTGCTCAGACAAGATGTCACAGATGTACATCTGGCAACGCCCATGGTCGCTTCCTGCTTGACCCCACAGCTGCGATGCATGGGCTGCAAAGGGCTCCCGCACGGTTGCGATGATACGCTCATCCTTTGTCAGCAGCTGCCTCACAAATTCCAGTCCGATGCCTCTGCTTGCACCAAGAATGAGCCAAGTGGTGAAGTCCTCATCGGCGTATAAGATGCTCGGTATTTGGTTCATCCGGGCTAGTGCTGTGCGGTGGGGGCCAATGCTGGTAACCTTGCGATGCACAGAAAGAAGCGATGATGTCAGGCTACAATCGACGCAATGAAGGGTCTCGCGAGGCTCGTCAGGTTAGGCGAGGAGGCTTCGTCTAGAAGATGGAAACGACACAATCACAATGTCTGACTCCTCTACGGCGCGAATGGCAGTGGCATGTCACGATTCACGGGACCCCGGTAGATGCGAGCTGCCATGGTGTCCGCTTGGGGCAAAGCAGGGCCGTATGGGCCTGCAGTCAGCCAGACTGAGAAAGTCGAGCCGGCTACAGCTACAAGCCCGTCGCCGTATATCAAGGGCAGCGTATACGTGCCCAAAGGCGCAATGTTAGCCGGCGGTCATGCTGCTGCAGCCTCAAGTAGAAGACAAGTGGGCCGCCCTGCTTCACGAGCAAGATCAGTGACGCTGAGCCGCGCCACAAAGGTAAATTACGCAGCGCTGCAATGGAAGACGCCTAGAAGAACTAGCCTACCAGACACGGGCGCAAAAAAGAAGACGTGCATCGATCAACTTGCCATCGGCTTTCCCGCCGACGACGCAACCGAACCGGTTCTGCCCGATGCTCATAAAGCGCCTGACTTTCGCAAGGCCTCTGATTGGCCAGCAACCATCGGTGAAGAGTGGCTTGCCCGTCGTTCCAGGACGTGCGCACTGAGCTCATCAAGTTTAGCGCCAAGCGGTTTGCCTTTTTCTTCGTTCACTGTTGCCAGCTTTCTTTCTCTCCCAGTCCAACTTGCCATCCAGCACACTCGTCACGCCCGTCTTCATCTCTACGACTCCATTCATACAACTCCACCTCAAACAACCAACACAAACCTCCATCTATCACAATGGGTTTCGAGAACGGTACGTTTTGAAAAAAGCCGCGGACGTCATCGAGCAAACCTGTCACGCCACGGCCACCCACCGCCCATTGAGCTTGCGCACGGCGATGATACCCGTCTTTGAGATGCAGACTGCGATTCTCAAACACGGGATTATTGGTCCGACAGCTTGAGAGGCGATTTGGGCGAGGTGGCCACTTTGCGACAAAGAGTGGTTGGCAGACGGAATGCTCGGCTTCGAATGCAGACTACATCGGATGTCAATACTGACACGGTAACAGGTGACCACAAGAAGGGTGCCAACCTCTTCAAGACCCGATGCGCTCAGTGCCATACCCTGAAGGAGGGTGAGGGCAACAAGATCGGCCCCAACCTACACGGCCTCTTCGGCCGCAAGACTGGTCAGGTCGAGGGTTACTCATACACCGACGCCAACAAGCAGAAGGGCATCACCTGGGACGAGAACACCTTGGTATGACTTTTCAAGCTTTTAGACATTTACATTACTAACAAACCCCAGTTCGAGTACCTCGAGAACCCCAAGAAGTACATTCCCGGAACCAAGATGGCTTTCGGTGGTCTCAAGAAGCCCAAGGACCGCAACGACCTGATTACCTTCCTCCAGGAGGAGACCAAATAAGCGCATCGCCACCCGAGCGCTTTCATCTCTTCGACACGCCATGACCCTTCTCTATACTTCCGTTTCCCACCTTCTTCCGATTGTACCAACACCGATAGACGTACGATTGAGATGAGGCACACCTACGGGGTGCCATTGTCTTCTGTAGATTATGTTTGGCGTATGATGCCAGGGCGCGTTTTCGACTTATGATGCAGCATAGAGCCGGTTTGGAACTTAGCGGCACGATCGAATAAACATTCTCCCACTCCATACCACTTTCTTTGACGTGACTCGTGTATGACGACGGCATTTGGCTTTGACTTTAACGGAACAATTTCCCACATGATTTCACATGTGTCAACACGTGTTTTGTAGAAACAGGTACATTGGCCTTGTACAACCTTGCGGCGGACCAAATTTCAGCCAATAATACAGCCAACAAATTTTCTGACGTGCATCTCGATCTTCTGCAGTGAATACTGGGTCAGCCAATTGCGGAAGAGTGGACTGGGGCGCACGACTCACGCGAGCACCTCGGGCTGGTGGAAGGCGTGGGCAGGCATTGCCGGCAAACATGGAGGTATCTGGTCCTAGCCGAGGATCATGTGGCTGGAGCTTGCCCAGATGCTTGCACGCGGAAGAGCATATGCACCTCCGTACGCATGCGTGTGACGAGCAGAAAGGACGCAGACGGTGAAAAGAAAGGTGCACTATTCACTGTGACACCATCGCCTCACGTCAGCTGTGGGATGTGAAGGACTAGGCTGGACATTCTCTGTGTGCTTTTGTGGCTCCTCCACGTGAAAGCGTTCAAGTGTGGGGGAAAGTCCCAAGTCTCAAAGCACTGGTGTCATTGCGGAACACGCCGTCTCCACATCTCAATTGTCAAGTCACCACCACGAGACTGCGCCTGACACCCGCGTCTCACACGATCACGCACTATCGTTACTGATTCTTCCATCCCGACTTGCTCCAGCACACACGCGTCCGTCTGACCTCGGCCTACAGAGCTTCGTGGAGTAGCGTCATAGTGGGGCGCAATATTGTTCGTCGACGCGAACATCAGTACCAACAGCAACTTGGCGATTACGCAGTGAGGAAGGCCACACGGCCTTGAGCAATTGGACAGAATGTCGTGGAAGCGCACCGAGAGGCTGATGGACACCATCAAAGTACGTAATGCAGTTGCACCGCGCTCGAGGCTGTAGCTAACGTCCTGGTAGCATTACAGCAACTTCCCTGCCACTGGTGCGTATATCCCTACATCTACAGAGCACTACATCTAATAGTCTCAGGTGTCTCGCTGAGGCAGATGGTGCAGTTTGGAGAAAAGCCGTCCACAGGAACCCTCTTCCGCGCGTCACAGTTCCTTTCCGAAGAGCTGCCCATCCGGCTAGCACACCGCGTGCAGGAGCTCAATGACCTTCCCGATGGTCTCAATGAGATGCCCTCGATCTGCAGAGTGCGTGATTGGTATGCGCAGTCGTTTGAAGTATGTTGTGGTGGACTTCACGGCCGCTGGACTTTGACTCACAACCACAACAGGAGCTCGTCGAACTCCCGCGACCAAACCTCTCCTCGGAGATTAGAGAACGATTACTGAAGCCGGCAAGACGGAACGGGAAAGATCAGGCGTTGATGGGAAAAGCGACACCAAACCCCAGCATCAAGCAAGGACAGTACCGGTCAGCGCCGGAGCACAACGGTAATGGCAACGGAAATGGGAGCAGAGAGGTCAAGGGAGCGACTTCGAGCCGGAGATACTACGCCGCGGCAGACGACGGGCAGGAATGGCCGCCGGAGCTGAGCGCATACAACACCAAGTTCGCAGACACACTCGAGAAGATCAAGAGGCGGCATGACAGCGTTGTGACAACCGTGGCTCAGGGTATCCTGGAGTGGAAGCGCAAGAGGCAACGGATGCAGATTGACCACAACATCCAAGCCTTCCTCGACCGCTTCTACATGTCGCGCATCGGCATCCGTATGCTCATCGGCCAACACATTGCCCTCACAGACCAGCGCGCTCGCTCCGATCCGAACTACGTGGGCATCATCTGCACCAAGACGAACGTCCGGGAACTCGCACAAGAGGCCATTGAGAATGCGCGATTCGTATGCGAGGACCACTACGGCCTGTTCGAGGCACCCAACGTCCAGCTCGTATGCAACAACGACATCAGCTTCATGTACGTGCCCGGCCATCTGTCGCACATGCTCTTCGAGACGCTGAAAAACTCGCTGCGTGCCGTGGTGGAGCGACACGGACAAGACAAGGAAGACTTCCCCGTGACAAAAGTCATCGTTGCAGAGGGCAAGGAGGACATTACAATTAAGATTTCCGATGAGGGCGGCGGCATACCCCGATCCGCGATCCCGCTTGTGTGGACGTACATGTACACGACCGTCGACCAGACGCCCAGTCTCGACCCAGACTTCAACAAGAGCGACTTCAAAGCCCCAATGGCTGGGTTTGGCTACGGATTGCCCATATCACGGCTCTACGCACGGTACTTTGGCGGCGACTTGAAGCTGATCAGCATGGAGGGGTAAGCGCTCACGCTCGCTTTTACTCGATTACAAACTAACACCACAACTAGCTACGGCACAGACGTCTACCTCCACCTCAACCGCCTCTCCTCGTCCTCGGAACCCCTGCAATAGCAATTACCTGTCATGAGGGACGGCTGGACATCGAGCGAACTGATCCGCTCCGGCTCCCAAGGATTGGCACAGGGTAATCGCAGATATGGTTCGCGCCCGACGAGCGTGCTGGCTATGAAGGCCATGAAGTTGAAGTTGAGCGGCAATGTTAGTCGCGAGGTTAGTGAGAGGCGGCAGGTGGGTGATGCAGAGGAGATGTTTGCGGACAAGGGGACGCCGTGGTGGAGAAATGTCGGCATGGATGAGGGGGTGTAAGAGGTGGGGAGGGGGGTTTGTATATATATGGTCATGATGGTGGGAAGGGGTTGGAGGCGCATAGCGACGTTGGTTATTATCATGTCGCGAACTGATTCGAAAAACCGCGAACAAAGAAGAGAAACAAAATCGACGGGAATCGTACTTGTCGATGAATCAACTACGAATTCAACGTCTCCCACCCAATTCTACCTCACTGCTTTGTCAACGTAAAAAAAGCAAACATCCTAAGAGTTGACAGCCCCACTAAAAAGTCTACACACTTCACATCCCAAGCTCGAATGCAACTCTTGTGAGCCCGGATCTCCCTACTTCCGAGCATTCCAAGTCCCTACAATCCGCCATGTCGTCGCATGCACCTCGCAGCTCCCCGTCACATCCGCACGCGCCCACCATTCCCCTCGCAGCTCCTCCCCGCAGCGCCGCATGCAATCCGCATCACAGCTAAACCCCCTACCATTACACCAAAAAAAGCACATCCATCCCGCCTCCAGGCCCAATGCCTGTCCACGCCTCTATATCGCGCCTCACATAATGCCCGCCCCTCCGTCCTCGGCGCAGCACCACCACCACCACCATCCCAACTTCCTCACCACGGTCCTCAACCCCCCGGCGCCCGCGCCCACTTTCTCCGCGACGCAGCGCAGCTTGCAGGCGCGCAATAAAGCGTACAACAACACCAACACCAACTACCACCACGGCGCGGCTGCGGCGGCCGAGGCTGAGAGCTATGAAGCGCGGCAGCGCAGGGAAGAAGCCGGGCGGATTCTCGAGCGCGAGGAGATGCTGATTTGGTGGAGTCAGGCGCGGAATGAGGTAAAACATATTCCCCCCCTCCCCCTTTTCTTTTTTTTCTCTTCTTTCGACGCACCGGCTGGGACTGACATGCGGTGGTGCGCAGAGTGTTCCCCAGACGCGCACGCACTTCCGCAATATTGTGCTGGGCATCGAGGAGCGCGCCGATGTCGTGTGGAGGGAGGAGTGGGAGTTGGAGAAGGATGCAGTGGGGGCGAGTCCCAGGGGGAAGGAGAGGGAGAGGGACAAGGGGAAGAGGAGGGTTGTGTCTGGGACACGTGAGTGAGTGAGGAATGGGGGGGGGAGGTGGTAATGTGCACGAATAATGAGTCGCATAATGGGGCGTTCATGGGAGACGGGGCGCGTGATACTTGGTGGTAATATGATTCTATGGGAGGAATTCAATTGTTTGTACAAAAGTCTTTAGCTAGAGTTGCACAAGTCTGATTGTGATGTTGTGGTTTGTAGAGAATTGTGTTTGCCATTTCAGGTATCAAATCCTTCCTCGACTGTGCTGATATCTAGCCGAATATCCATGGTTGCATATGCATATGCTCGTAGACTTCTTGCGCCCATCGTCCTCATCCCCCTCAATCCTTCCAATAAGACCACGCCTTGCCCACCTGCCCCCTACTCTCCAAATCCCTCTGCATGTCCTCGCCTGGCGGCTCATCGCAGACGGACATCCCGGCTGCTGTAAAATGTCTCAGGCTAATGGCTTCCATTGGTCTGCTGATGCTCAGCTTTGCTGCCCTTACCTCTCCACGTGCTGACGGCGGGAATGTCCGCCTTCAGTCTCTCCTCTTGCGTCGAGTACGCCTTGGGCGTCAACTTGATCAGTGTGTGTAACGGGACTTCCATCCACGGGCTCTGCTCCTGCGGCACGTTCATAAAGTATGCGTATATGCACCGCAGGATCGCCTGGTGCGTTACGATCAATATGTTCTCGCTGCGCTCGAGCTCCATGATGATGGGCTCGAGGCGGATGACGACGTCACGGTACGATTCACCGCCCAGGTAGCGGTAGTTGTACTTGTCTTCGTCGCGCTGCGCAAAGTCTTCGGGGTACTTTTGCTCAATCTGGGCGTAGGTCAGGCCGTCGCAGACGCCCGAGTCGAGCTCGTCGAGAGCTTTCCATTCGAGCTTTTCAAAAGTGAGGAAGCGTGCGGTTTGGATCGTTCGTTTCAGCGTGGATGTCCAGACGGTGAGTTGCCGGCCGTCTCCTACTGACTTGGCCACCAGGCCAGGAAGCGCATGCGCATACGCATCACCGCGCTCCGACAGGTCTGCGTCGCCTCCTATTTGTCCTGACAGATTGTATTGCGACTCGCCGTGCTGTTATTGTTAATACCGCTGCTAGCTACTATACAAGAAGACTCACCCGTGATAACCAGATCGACCGCGGCTTGATGTGGAGGTTCATCAGGTAGTACACGACACGGCTCTGGAGGTAGTCCTGAATCTGGTTGATGATGACTTGCTTTCCCACGTCAATCAGCTTGACGTAGGTGAGGTCGCGCTCGTCCTCGTCAATCGTCTCGTACACCTTTTCGTAGTTGCGTATCCTGTTGCGGAAGTCGGCTGCAGCCTCTTCTGGATCTTGCCCCACGTAGTCCGGTGACGTCGTCTTGACTTCGAGGATGTTGCTCATGATGAGATCCTCGTCGTCGCATTTCGACTCGACGTAGAGCGTCTCAATGTTCTCCGCGGCGCACCGCTCCTGTATCCACCTGCGCCGGCTCTTGGTCGAGTTGGTAGCGTCCAGTATCGCAATGAGCCCTCTGCCCTCGGCGAACCACTTGCACATGTCATTGACGGCTGCCTCGGCGGCTGCCCTGCGCAGGCGCTCTCCTTCCGGGTTCGACGTGTCGAAGAACTCGGCAGACGGGTTCGGGGTCGCGGTGCGGCGATACTGGCCTACATTGAATGTTTTCGACTTGATCGATAGCCAGTGCAGGTAGCGGACCACTAATACGTGACATGTTAGCAACCGCACAACCGACCGGTGACGTATCCATACCTTTTTGCGCAATCAGACTTTTCCCACGCGCGGGCAAGCCCACCATGACGACGCATATCCGCGTGTCCTCAGCCTGTACACCAGCACCATTAGTCTTTCTGCTCGGCCTCACAAATTCGCCAGTGGGCACTTTGCGCATTTGCGGCGCGTAGAAGCCATTGCTCTCAGATTCCGTCATGGCAAGTGCGGCGAAGAGTCCAGCTCTTTGCGGTGTCCTGGATCCAAGAAAACAGCGCGGTGCAGTCTACACGCAAAGAATGGAGAACAGCAATATGGCGCGGATTCCAGCCGACAGTTTCCCGAGGTGCAGCAATGTTATGCGGCTTTTAATCAAAGATGCAAACAGGCGTGAAGCTAGGCGGTCAACGGAAAAACCAGAAGGCGACGAGTCCAGAAAGGGTCAACTCGTCGGGGCAGCAGTGGTTTGAGCGTGGGGTGGAGTGTAGCAGAATCGCGTATTCAGATCGGCATGTGAGTAGCGAGAGACGATGAGGCTTGAGTGATGGCCAGTTCCCCGCATTTAGAACGGCGTGCTTCTTTTCACAAGCGGTCGGGCTGCGGGACTTTGCTAGACGCACCCAGTGGAGCGATTGTGCTGCAATCGATCTTCATTCGACGGCCAGGAGTCTGCTGGCGTTGAATGTTCCACTTGGCCGACTGCCGGTGCGGACGTTCCTGAGCAGGCACAGCCGGTTGAGCAGGCACAGCCGGTAGCGCGAACCAAGAGCTCCTCGTGGTCGTGATGCCAGATCTGCTAGGGGCTGGCTGGTCGTGTGCCATGATACGACCATGCCCGAGTGCCACTATTCGCTTCCGGCATGACGACAATGGCGGCCGACCGCCCTCAGCGTGGTTTGCGGGCCATTGTGTCCAATGCCTTAAGCCGCCGAATGCCGGAACGTCCCGTCTGCCTTTGGATTCGCCATGATGAAGACATTTTTTTTGCGGTCGTACTCGGCGAGTGTCGTGCAGTGCAGCTGATGAGAGAAATTCTACTTACAGTCGAGATGGAATAGGTCCTACTATGGCCTTTTGCCTCTGCGGCACTTGCTCTCCTCATCGTTTCGGTCTTGCGAATTGCGCTAGGGTTTGGCGGGGCAGCGGTAGTTTGAATATAATGCACGAAAGTGTCGTGTTTTGCTTGCTATCGTAGAGCAGAATTGGGCAATCAAACGGGAGCGATCAGGATTTAGTCACAAAAGTCGTTAGCTATCCGTCACTTGTCAGATGTCTTATCGTGCAGTTTCTGCTCCAAAAAGCATCCCGCACACCGCTATCTCCCTTGCCGCCGCAATCGCACCTGCCCCGTTGATTCACCAAGGCGAGCCACGTGCAAAACAAACAGTGCCGCCACGGTAAGCACGACATGCGGTCTAACAGTGGATGGCATATTGCTTGTACATGGTTACATTTTCGCAGTAGCGGAGTTGGACATTATTCAATTACCCCAACCTCATCCCCAAGTACCCATGATGTTACAAGACCCGTCTTTCTGATATGCAAATTCGCGCTAATCCAAAAGACCATAGAAATACGGGTATCTAGCAATGCTGAACAGAAATCCTACTCTTACAATACAGGCTATGCAATCATGTTCAAACGGCCGTCATATATCAAGTGAGTTGCGTGTGTCAAACAAGCAGTTGCGCCATCCCGTTCGCTCGGTGCGTGTCGTCGAATCCGCTTTTGAGTGCCAAAAGTGAGGCACCAGCGTCAAGTCGGCGCTTCAGAGCCGCGGCGGTGCGTTCTTGGCCTCGGCTTCCAAAGGCTTCCTCTACCCATTTGACCTTGTTGATCATGAAGCTGAGGCCCTCATGCGCCTTGCCCTTCTTGCTGGAGATGCCGTATTCGACTGTCCCTTCGTACTCTTGCAGTTGAGGCAGAATGAGAATCTCGATCTGTAGATCCATGTCGGTAGGAGGAGTAACAGGTGCAGCCGGAGGCTTCGTGAGGATATCGTCGGCATCTTTGGCGTCGTTCGGAGCTGTGATACGTGGGTCAAGCATGGTCACATCGACTGTCTCGTCCCATTCTCCGCGAATCCACCCCGAGTGGATGGCAGCGGCAATCGGGATCTGAGTCGTCCCGGTATACACGAGCGCCCCAAAGATGTCGTTCAAGGACAATGTGCTGTCGCTGCCGCGGCTTCAAGAAGAACCTGGGCACGCGAATAGTAAAGGTGCAATTGATGGGGTTGACCTCAAATCGAGGCAAACGCTTTGGTTTAGAAGCATAGCCAAACTGGTCATCCAGAGATGAGTTTGGCTTGGGTAACTCAGTTGTCGTTTCATATAGCCGGGATCCCAGATGTCTACGCGGGAATTTTGCAGCCTCGTCAAGTACAGGTTGGATGTCATGGACCTTGATTGGCATCTTAGTCACGGGCGACGGGCCTTGTGGTCCGCCTCGGGGCGCATGGTGATGGTGATGATGATGATGATGTGGTGTACCCTGGATGTGATGGTGGTGGTGTACTGGTTGGCCGGGGCCATTCTGGGGAAGACTGCCTTGTCGTCCGTTGAGTGGAGTTGACGTGTTGGATTGAAGTAGTTCGTCGTCAGGTTTGTGATGGTGGTGATGGTGACTATCTTGTTAGCAAATTTCCAAGCCCTGGTGTCAGAGAGAACCTACTGATGATGTGGCACATGGTGGTGGTGATGGCCAGCATGTGTGTACTTGTTGCGCTTCGCTCCGCGCACTCCAGAAGGTGTACCCCGCCCATCGTTGCTATCGGCATCAAAGACGTCCTCGTCCTTGACGCGTTTGGACTTTCTGCCTTGCTGCGAGTTTACGCGCTGTAGCCTCATCATCATATCTCCAGACTCGGGATCCTGTGCAAAGGGGCCTTGCCCGTTGTGGGGTAGTGGACTACCACGCGATGGAGTAGATGATCCGAGACCGCTGCCGAGACCAGAAAACATGCGCCCAAATTCGCTCTTGATGCCAGGGTCTTTGCCAATTGACATGGGCTGTGCTTGAGCTCCCTGTACAGCTTGTGGCAGTGGAGAGGCGCGACCCGTCCTCCTGCTTGCTTCGAGGCCAAATCCAATGTGTGACTTCGAATGCTGCATCTCCTCGCCCATTCTGCGCGGATATTCGTACAGCGACCTAGACGACAGCGACCGAGCAAGAGGTTCTGTCTTTTGGCGGTCGATGGAGTTGGGATCTGAAGTCGGTGCAGCGTGGTACTGTTCTACTACTCGGTTGTTCATACGATCCATACTTCGCTGCTGTGCCATAGTTTCACCACTCTGACCATCGAAGCGCGAGGGCGCATGTGACGGGGAGTGATAGGGACCGTAGGGACGCTGCGATGCAGCAGGATCCTCTCTCCGACTGTCGATGGCATCGCGAGGCGCGTCAACGGGTGCAGAATGGCGCCAGACACCGCGGGGTGGATCGTTCGGACCAGGCATCGTGTGCTGGTCACGAGGCGGACTAAAAGCGGATTGCGACACGGGCTGTACCGTCGTGGGTCTGTCTCTGGCGGTTGGGCCTTGACTAGCTATGCCTAGAAGCTCCGCGGTGTTTGGGCGCGCGTGGTGCGATTCTCCAAGCGTTCGTCGCCGCTCTTCAGGTGGCCCGTATGCGCTGCGCCGTCCCGCCATAGCATCATATGGAGGCCTGCCAATGTCGCGAGCTGCCACTGGGCCGGTGGGCTGGCTGTTTGGTCTCGGGGGCACGTTTGCAGCAGCTTGTTGGTGGTCTCGTGCGACAGCGTCGTTTGACGCCTGTCCGTACAGTCGCTGGCCAAGGAACTTGTACGTTTGGTTTGATGGAGGCAACGACTGTCGGCCGAGCTCTGGAGATCCTTGATTGCTGTAGGACCGTGAAGGGGATCCTGCCGAGAAATTCTGCCCACCCGGTGCTCTTGATGCGTTGCCGCCATACATACTTCGGTCGGGCGATGGCTGTCGCGGAAAGGGTGCGAAGTCTGATCGTGGACCGGGTGGCAGGCCGCGGCGCGGCGACGGTGGCTGCATGCTGTGACCAGCGACGGACTGCGCGTTTGTAACAGGTGACGGCTGTGATTGTGATGTCTGCGCGGGTGCACCAGCATCACCGCCGCCGATAAGGGACGAGATGGACATGCTGCTGCCCGGACGATGCGCTGAGCCTAGCCCCGGGAGCTCTCTGTTGGCGCCAAAATTCGAAGCGTAGGGGGCACGTTGCGGCTGCGATGCGTGGTGCTGCTGGGGCGATGATGGCGGGGGCATGTGTGGTCGCGCAAAGGATGGCGGTGCAGGAGTGTCATGGGGTGGAGCTACAGGAGAATCGCAGTTAGCTTGAGACGAAGCTGGGCTTGTGAAAGCGGGGCGCGTTACCTCCATAGGGAGCCGGGGGGCTGCCGCCGTTGAGCGAGTTTCTGCGCGCAGCATCGAAGCCGTACTGCGACGGCGCAGGCGGATTGTTTGACGCGCTCATGGATGGCGGTGGTGGAGGGCCTGTCTGGGAGTGGTGATGCTGGGCTCCGTAGTGAATCCCGTGGTTTGGACGCGCTAGCAATCGATCAGCCGTCGCGACTTTTCAAAAGGGGGATAGCGTGCGGATCCTGCATTAGCCAGTCCTGGAGGCGAGCCACATGTGTGGAGAAAACCATCGCAAAATGGCCGCCAGCCACCAGCATGCGCGCACCGCCAAATAGAGGCCGCCCAGCGCAGCGCATGGCCGTCCTGCACGAGACCAGATGCATGCAGCACCGTCCACAGTCTCCGTCCAGAGACTGCATGGTGCACCAAAAACATCCAGGCGCAATGCAACAGGCGGTGAACTGTGAGCTGTCATTGCGCACATGCTGGAGCTTCTGCATTCGACGTGTCATGCAACAAGTAGCGCTCCGCACGCAGCAACCACTCGCCTCCACCCACAACGACCAAGTTGTAGGCCACGCGGACTGTGCCACCAATGCTCGAGACATGTCCCCATTGCGCCTGGATGGCGAACGGGCCTGCCAGTTGACGCAGTCTGAACAGTCCCCACAACCCTGCATGTTCGTTTCCGAACATGCCAGAGTGCCCGGAGCCCATTCATCTGCGGCGTGCTGGGGCTACCGTTCGTGCTTCCAACGCTCAACTGGGACACCCGAGACATTGACGGCCAGACAGACGTAGCACGAAGCGTGTGCCTGAGACAAAATCTAGAAAGTGTTCCGTACCTGTGTGTGTCCAGCCGCCCTGCCGCTCTGCCTGGGGCTGCGGCGCATTGTCTCCTCCCGAAATGCCCTGGCTGCTGCGTCGGACGTGTTGTGCGGTCGTGGGGAGGAATGGGTCGCGTCGGGCCGCCGCGTACGGGTCTTGCGAGAAGGGAACGTGCAGTGGCTGCTGTGGCTGCGGCGTCGGGGGAGCGTAGCCGGTGTACGTCTGCGGCGAGGGCTGGTGGTTCGGATTATGGATCATAGGGCGGTCGGGTGGCCGTTGGAAGGCAGCTTGACGGGCGTCCATGGTGTACCTGTCGATCTGAGCGCATCTGAGATGGGGCCGGGCGTGCAGAGCGTGGGCGAACGATATGCGTAGGCTGACTGTCGTCGAGGCGCGAGCGTAAGGACCCAAAGCAACAAGAAGTGCTCGCTTTCAAAGAGAGCAGAGTAGAAGAGCACTCCGCACCATCTGCGAGGAAAGCGACCAAGTGCACGGTTCCCTGTCGCCTGTGGCTTGCAGGGATGACAGCCCCGCCGCGCTGCAGGTGCGACCCGAGTTTCTCGACCATGATGATGTGATGGGCAGATGGGGCTACAGAAGAGCGCGTAATGCACTCGCAGCCACCACAAAGCCGGCTGCCCGCAGAGAGTGCGCGTACCACACGCTCCAGTCATTGCTCCATCTGTCGCCGTCAACTCCCCATGGCGGGAACGCATTCCATGGCGCTCGGGAAACTTGCTGCTTGCCGCCGCTGGCACCCCTGCAGCGTTCCTGAGGCGGTGAGACGGATCTTCGCTGCCATGGTCGAGGCCAGCCCTGGAGCTCGGAGCTCCCCTCAGCCTTGTCACCTGCGCCTTGACGTGCCCCGAGCCGCGCCTCATTAGCAACTTGCTATGGCAGCTGGCAGCCCTCAGTGAATCTCCATGCCACTCCTCCCGATGCCAGGCTCTCCTGCTGCCTCCTGGGCAACCTACCGTGCCCGCTTGAAAGCCGTCTTCCATGGCGCGGACCCGCGAGTGTGCGCCGCCTTCTGGCTCTTTGGTACGCACGCGACATGTTCCGCTGGATGAAGAGGGGTCTGCGAGCTACCACGCACCAAGAGACCGTCTGATGGGGGGGTCGACTCTAGTCTGCCTACTCCGTCTGTGAAGCTTGCATACCGCCAGCCAGAACTAACATCGCTGTAGGCCTCATCAACAATGTCCTCTACGTGATCATTCTCTCCGCTGCACTCGACCTCGTAGGCCCTGCCGTGCCCAAGGGCGTAGTCCTCCTATGCGACGTTATACCCTCGTTCCTCACCAAGCTATGCGCCCCCTACTTCATCCACAAGATCCCATACAGCCTGCGCATCCTGATCTGCGTGGCCCTATCAGCATGCGGCATGTTCGTCATTGCCCTGACGCCTCCACTGCAAGACTCGAGGACCATCGCGATAAAAATGTGTGGCGTGATGCTGGCTAGTCTTAGCAGTGGAGGCGGCGAGCTCAGCTTCCTCAGTCTCACGCATTACTATGGCCACTTTGCGCTGGCGGCATGGGGATCTGGCACAGGTGGAGCGGGCTTGATCGGTGCTGGAGCATACGCCCTTGCAACCAACACGCTGCACATCGACCCGAGGACCAGTCTGCTTGTGTTCGCCTTCTTGCCTCTGATCATGGTGTTCAGCTTCTTCGTCGTGCTTCCACTTGGACCTCTTCGCGCCGGCGTAGCAAAAAATGGAGGATACGAGGCAATAGACACTGCTGAAGACGATAACGACGAGACAGAACAGGAAGAAGAGCAAAACGGCCTCTTGTCGTCGTCCACGCACTCATCCGCCGCCCCGGCCAAAGCAGCTCTGCACAGCTTCAAAGCGAACCTCCTCCGCGCCCGCAGCCTCTTTTTCCCCTAGTACGTTCTTCTCTCCCTGGGCAAAAGCACACTAACACCCCACAGCATGCTCCCCCTCCTCCTCGTCTACATCGCCGAATACACCATCAACCAAGGCGTCGCGCCCACGCTGCTCTTCCCCCTCGCCTCCTCCCCCTTCACCCACTACCGCTCCTTCTACTCCACCTACCAAACAATCTACCAAGTCGGCGTCTTCATCTCGCGCTCCTCCACGCCGTTTATCCGCATCCACCACCTGTACACACCCTCGTTTCTCCAAATCGCCAATCTGCTCATACTCTCGCTGCACGCCATGTTCGACTTTATCCCGAGCTATTACATCGTGTGCGCGTTTATTTTCTGGGAGGGACTTCTGGGCGGCCTGGTGTATGTTAGCACGTTTGCGGAGATTACGGACAATGTGCCCAAGGAGGACAGCGGAGTTTAGTTTGGGGGCCACGAGCGTGAGTGATTCGGCGGGGATATGCATTGCCGGGTTTTTGAGCATGGTCGTGGAGGTGGGGTTGTGTAGGTGGCAGGTTGAGCATGGGCGGGAGTATTGCAAGCTACAATAGGTAGAATGAGAATGGGAATGAGAATGATGTCTTCATTTGCCGCAGATGACTGGAATCCTAGAATACACATTCGCACCTCCACTCACTCGTCTACATCCCCGCAATCTGCCTGGATCGGCGCTATATTTACAAAGTATCCTTGAGCAGCTTGTTCATCTTGGCCATCTTCGCCGACACGGAAAGGTCAATGGTGCGGTCGGCAATCTCGACAATCAATCCGCCGCGGATCTCGGGGTTGACCTTGGACACAACCTTGAGCTTCTGGCCGTTGGCGACGTACTCGGACTTGTGGATCGCAGCCTCGAGGCGGCTGAGCGTGCGGTTGTCGAGGGCCTATCTCACACGTTAGTTTCCAACCCCCATCTCCCACCATTCCTGAAGTGTTAACGTACCGTAGCGCTGGTAACAGTCAACTCGACCTCGCCCCGATGCGCGCCCATCAACACGCCAAACTTGTCCACCACACCCGCCAGCACACCCAGTCTGTTGTTCTGCGCCAGCGTCTGGAGGAAGTTCTTCACGATGCCCTCCTTATCCTGGCTGCCCAGGTTCTTCTGCAGCTCCTGGACAATCTGCTGCTTATCAGACACACTGAGGGTAGGCGCGCCGAGGACCTCGACGAGCTTGGGGTCCTTTTTGAAGAGCGCGGAGAGGCTCTCGAGGGATTTGGCCGTCGGGTCGAGGGCGTTGGTTTTTGAAGCTGCCGTGTACTGTAGCAAGTTTGTTAGCTGCCAATTCATCCCCCACCATCGTTCCACCGGGCCAATTGCTGTTCTGAGAGGCGTACCAGGGCGCTCGCATATGTTCCGTCGACGCCGAAGAGGGCGACGGGCGGCTTGTTGGCTGCACCGGTGGGCGCTGCGGCGGCGTAGTTGCGGATGCCGGCGACGCGGGCGGCGATGGGGGCCCGGGGCGCTGCGGCCCGGAAAGCAGTGCTGAAGGCGCGGGCTGCGGACATGGTGGGTAGAGAGGAGATGGGTTTGTCGTGTTGGGGGAGCTGGGCGAGCTTGGAGGTGGTAATGTTGCGATGAGTTGCAGTTTCTCCCGGGCTCGGCACGATGACGGGCTAGGCTGTTTTGGGACGTGCGAGATGTCTGCAACGCGAACTACATTGCTGATGCTACTTACATGTCAAACTCTCCAACTTTGGTTGTATTGGGATTGGCTGTATATCGTCATTTCGACTTTTAAGGTGTCGTTGACCTCGCTTCATGCAGCATGGCCGCATCCGAATACCAGTGCTGCATCAATTCGTACCTGCGCTCTGTCGACTAAGCACGGCATCACTATGCATCTCCCGGAATGTCACTCATATCACTGGCGGTTGAAGTTCATGATTTATTCCAGTAAAAATATGGAGCTGGATAGCCTCGTGTATATCCCACAAGAAGTGGCGCTGCTGAAGCTGCCCATTTGCACACAGCTGGCATCATGAACCCTCGCGATACCCGGCCCGGATAGCTCAAACAGACAGTCACCAGCAAAAACGAGTGCCGAGAGCATGAATAATGCCCTTTTGTGGCGAGGTAGTTCCAAGTAAGAGTGGTTTTCGAGGTGAGATGTAAACGTGTTTCCGAAGCTTCAGGTTCGAACTCTCTGTCACGCAAATACCACTTTTCATTATTCCACGTCTTCATGTCAGGGTATACTTGAACAACATTTTACGCCTCATAGTCCGAACTACATACCGGTACTTTTCACTCTTGAGGCCTGGAGTTGGAAAGCATGTACGATGTGTTTGTCTAAGACAACAAGCAACTGTCTCTCAATCCGCCCTCACCTCACCTTTACCTGCCGTCCATGCATCACAACGGTACCGCGCGTCCTCACTTGTTAAGACGACTTCACCTTCGTTCCATTACAAGTATAAGGTCTACGGCGTCCCTCTTACTTACCGTCCTCCAAGCAACTTTTGAGTAAGCTCAACTTTGCTGGCAGAAAATTTCAGGAACGACCATCTTCAGTCTCCAAGTCAACGATTACAGAGTCATGATGATGGAC